ACTCGGGCCATGCCTGGGTTGCCACCTCCTCTGTCTAGATTGGCCCTCTATAGTGGCCGCGTGTCCAGTCTAGGAGCGTGTCGGGTGTGTGGACAATTGATGAGGATGCCTTTCTTACTTGGTGTACAACTCAATTCGGATACTTACCTCTGCGTGCTGGCTCCCATATGTCTGTAGATATCCTTCATGTCAATAGATTGATGGAGTCTCTCTCTCTCTCTCTCTCATCCCGTGCTACTTTCTTCAGTCTGAGGGCTCTATGTATCCTGCTCTTGCATTCTCCTTCGGCCAACTAACAACAGGTCCGACACATTGTGCCAGCGGCTCCGAGCCACACAAGTAGCCTGGCAAGAATTTCTCAGGTATTTTGTTCCGCCCAATCAAACCATGACGGAGAATGCACAGTATCACCCAAACCTCTTGGGCAAAATGCCCGTCGCACCCATGAAGAAATGTTTTCTCCTCTCTCATTTGAAGCAGCTTCTGATGGCCGACCTAATCCATTATCCAACACACCCGATGGCACGCGCTGCCCGTGTACAATTGCAAGACCTCGCCGTGCCTCTCGGACTTGGCGCAAGTCTGGAACGAGATTCCCGAGGCCCTGGAACTGGGGCTGTCGACATGCTCCTCATCCTCGCCAGTGGTGTATTGACGGCAAATTCAATGACATTCATGCCGTCGATATACTTCGGGAATGGGGGGTGTGTTGAGTGAAGACCCAAGTAATATGGGCTCTTGGCTGAAGACTTTAGAAGTGTTGCCAGCGGGGAGACAGTGTCAGGGGGAATGAGGCGCAGATCCGTGATTATGATTTTCTTTAAACAAGACAACTTTCACATGCTTGTGTTCTTCCTTGTCTCAAGTTCTGGCTTTTGCTTCGGGCGACATGTTATTAGAATTTAGGCGGGAAAAGATGTATCTTATTCATTAGGGGAAAGAAACCACTCGGCTTGATTCAAGCGGGTCAACGGCAGCTTTTGCACAACTTGTACCCGCCTTTTGCGAGCCTGAGGCACAGGATCAGTGTAAGATAGGCTAGTCAGTGAGCGAGGGCTCCTCACCTTATTTAGTCAAGTCGCTCGGCAACAGGATCTACTCTTGGAGCAATGGATTGTTGCCGTACTCGGCAATGTGGTCCGATCACTGGATCATATTGTGCAGGCCATTATAGCCGAGCCGGATCATGGCGGATGCCCTCTTCAACCTGAAACTTCAATCCTCTGAGTGAAACCTATCTGAATCCCGTCGACAAAGTACTTACATAAATTGTATTTGATATCCTCAGAGCACACGAACTCGCATGGTGTATGACCTGTGACCTCGGTGTTCAACGTTCAACCTGTCAAAGACCTTCCGCCCTCGTTGCTCCGATCATCAAAATCGCGCGACCTGGGTGCTCAAACTTTCAAAATTCTGCGACCTCGGGCTAAAACTGCACATTGCACACTGTGCTGATAATATTCAACGAAAACAACTGTTATAGATTGTTCATCGTGGGCATCTGCGCGAGCTGGAAGCGACGGGCAATGTCCTCGTGAGCCAAACGCTAGCTCACAGCGCAGTATTTCCCAATGTCCGTAACTTGAACCTAGCCATGCACTTTACCACCATGACACAAAACCTCATCATTTTGTCCAAGTTCCCGTCTGTCTCCCAGCTCGAGCTTGTTGGATGGGGACGGGTCGAGTACGAGTCCAGGGAGGAGGCTTTCGTCTACGCCTCTGATGTCTTGCCCCTGCTGAGGGAGTACCATGGGACCTGCACGCCGTTGGGAATATTCCTCTCCAAACCCACTCTCACGCGTCTCTTCATCCACCATTCTGATCCAAGGGCACTCACTGTCCATCTACACAAGGAATATCGCCATATCACCTTGCTACTCGTGATGCTCACTTCCCTGGACCAGGAGACTCTGAGCACAATCTGCACCCGCTTGCCTTCGCTGATTGATCTCGGTATCCACACATCCCAACACTTTGAGGAGGTTCATTGCGAGGATGGTATTAACACTCAGGTACTTGGAACCAAGTATATTTATCAAGACCACTGACAACAAGTTTATCATCCAGGCGACGGACTTGTTCTCCACGCTGACAGATACTCCGCTACCGCGGACTCTGGAGCGCCTCGTTATCTTGTGGCAATTCGACTTTGAATTCGAACACGATGAAGAGGAAGGTGTGCCGGTCGCCTCTCCTGAGAACATACCCGACTTTGTTGCGATGCGGGATAAACTCAGGGAACGATGTCCGGCGTTGAGGACGCTCTGGCTTGACGGGCAGGATTTTATGTTCAAGTGGCGTCAGCTGCTTGATAGAGAGGAGATGGAGCAGGAGAATACAATTTGAAGCCGGTGAGTCAACGTCAACTCGCAGGAATCAACCTTGGCGCGAGGCTGACTTGCTGCAAAACAGCGGAGATGGTGGACTACAGGAGATATTCGCGGATTTCTGAGAGCGGTAGTGAAGAAATTTAGTGTTGATTAATTAACCGAACGTACGACTCGAGCTTGTCTTCTTTGAACTTGGGGCGCCATGTTCAATTTCATAGTCAATCAATCTTGGAAGCCCTTCCTTTGAAGATCCCACCAACCCTTTGAGGGCTCTACAGATAACGCCAGCTAACATGTTGCACGGCAACTCAGAATCGGGATATTGCCCTTCGTCAGGGAGCTCAGTTTGACGGTAGAGTGCACGTAACGTCGTAACTGCGTGGGTCGGGCGTGCCGTCCAGAAGCGCGGGCGGTTTCATTTCACAAATTCTCCGAATAAGCTTGCCAGCACGCTTTCCCTGGGGCATGGAGCCCTCACACTGCCAGTGCTCTCTGTGCAAGTTACTTACTTTTCTCTCGTATGAGCCCAAGCCTTTTGTCCCAAAGCAAGCGTTCCCAGCGAAAATACCCACTTGCACATGAAACGATAATCCCTTGTTCTACAGTGTATACATTCTTCAACTCTTTACAAATCACTCTCTTTAACCAAAATCTCATTCGCCTTGCCGCGAATCTCATCGAGCGACGTGAACCCCGAAAGACCCAGCGTGACATCAAGGTCAGCGAGGATACTGCGAATGACCTGCTCGACGCCTTCCTGGCCAGCAATGATGCTGCCGTAGAGCCACGGGCGACCAACTGGGAACAGTCAATCGCTTGAATAGTGGAAAGGAATGGGACATACGAAGAACAGCCTGAGCACCAAGCGCGATGGCCTTGAAGATATCGGGGCCGGTGCGGATGCCCGAGTCAAAGAGCACCGTGAGACGTCCGTCCGCCTGGGCGCTCTTGATGACGTCCGAGCGCATGATCCTTGCTAGAGCGTCCAGGGACGCGATAGCCCCGTCGACCTGCCTTCCACCGTGGTTGGACACGATGAACCCATCGACACCGTAATCCAACGCCTTCTCTGCGTCAGAGACGCTCTGGATGCCCTTGAGCACGAGCTTCCCGTCCCAGTTCTCACGGATGAAGCGCAGGTCCTCCCACGAGCGGAACAGACCAGAGTTACACTCCTTGAGCCACTCCATGCCGAGGAACGCTGCGTCCCGGGCTGCAGCGTCTCCGTCCACGATGAGCTTGTCAATCTCCACCGCATCGTAAGGGAACTTGGTGCGCGGGCTGGCGATCGGGTCTCTCCCGTAGCGCTTCATAAAGACAGGGTCCGAGGTACCGACTTGCACGCCGACGCCGTGACCAAAGGGAATATAAGAGAGCTCGAGATCGTGTGGACGCCAACCGAGCGCCATCGTGTCGAGCGTGACGACGAGAGCGGTGAACCCGTTGGCCTTGGCGCGGCCCAGGAGGGAGAGGAGGACTTCGTTGGTCGCGGGCCAGTAGAGTTGGTACCATCTGTGACCGTCGCCGTTTTCGGCTGCGGCATCCTCGATGCTGCGGGATGAGGCGGTGGACATGATGTACGGCACACGCAGGTTCTTGCCCGCCCGAGCTGGTGCAAATTCGGCGTCGGCGGCAAAGATGCCTTGAACGCCGATCGGGGCGATGAAGATGGGACCAGAGTGCTTGACGCCAAAGATCGTCGTCTATACACGGTGTGGGTGAGCTCAAAGGCGTAATCGGCATGGGTGACGCACCTCGAGATTGCGGACTGTCGCATTGACCAGCATCCGTGGTATGATCCTGTACTTTTCAAACGCCTGCAGATTGGCCCGGTAGGTCGAACTCTTGCCCGCACTTCCCCCAGCGTACATGAAAGCACCTGCATACCCTCAATGCCTGCAACCCTCCCGGAGGTCACTGATCACTCACCAGGGGTGCTCTCGAGCTTCTCCTTGGCCTTGGCCTCAATCTCCTCAAACACGACGGTGCCGAGGGGCTGAGCGCCTTTGCGCCCTTTGTACACGCTGATCATGTAGTCGGCCCATGGGTTGGTGGGATTGTTGTTCATCGTTCGTCGTTGTGGTAGGGAAGAGGGCTTGGGAAGGTCGGCTGACCTCCAAGTCACCGAGAACTGCCAGTGTCACTATCATTCGGCCGATGCCCGAGAGAAGGGCGTCCCAAGGGGGAAGGGCGTCCCGACAGGAAGGGCGTCCCGACAGGAAGGGCGTCCCGACGGGCGGATGGGTCGACGGCGACAACGTGGCGGAAGAGAGCATGGATAAACTTCAAAACTCCGCTAAACTCCGCTTGCACTACTGATCCGAAACACTTCAGCCTAACAAAGAACCGAAAAATTGCGATTTTTTTCTCCCAGATTCCACGAGTGGGTCAGCGCAGGAGCGTGGAGATGCGATGAATGGAATCGTACATGTGTGATTAAGGTTGCAAGCAGTAAGCATACAGCAAGATCTCGTGAGCAGCGCTGCAAGGTCCAAGGTCCAAGGTCCAAGGTCCAAGGTCCAACATCCAACATCCAACATCCAACATCCAACATCCAACATCCAACATCCAACATCCAACATCCAACATCCAACATCCAACATCCAACATCCAACATCCAACATCCAACATCCAACATCCAAAAAGGCTGGAACATTCCTGCACAAGGCCGCGCCGGGAGTCGAACCGGGGTCCCCAGAAGACAATCTGGGTCTTCAATGCTCAGAATCTGATGTGATAACCGTTACACTACGCAGCCATGGCGGGGTTGGCGCCTGTTGGGATTTCACTAGGTCGGTGAGTTTGGCCGAGGCGTAGGCCGAAGACGAAAACCGACTGGCCTGCGTAACTCTTGTCGAAAGCGCCAGTGGGGGGTCAACGTCACGGTGTTGATTCAGTTGAATGCATATGACAGTCTGCCATTGCCCCGTCTTCTCCCATCCACTCGAAGAATAGTAAGTACACAACACATTTATATTGCCGCCAAGGTCAAAACGTGAATTTTTCTCCAATAATCACCTCCGTCAAGCTCCACAACCTCGCCGCATTAGCCTAATAAGTCCACGCCGGTTAGCCGTATTAGAACGTTAACAAGAAATGCTATGGCACGACGTACAGGATCAGAACTCGGCGGGTCAATCAGGTCGTTGGCTACGACGCAGTCGTTTAGGTAGGAGCCGGCCTTTTCATTGAGGCTAGGATCAAAGGCTGCGACCAAAGTGCTGGCAAGTTCAAATTTGTCAGTTCACCACAAAGAAAGACGAACAAGCTCTTACGTCGCAGCGCCCTGAGCAGCCGTCTTCCACTGGACGCTCTCCCTCGGACGACCTTCAGGATCAAGAGCCCCCAAGGTGTTCATATGAGCAAGCGAGTCGGGGTGTTGAATTATATTCGTGTAGATGACTGAATCAACTCATCGTCAGCCTGAGTTCGAAACATAAAGAGCCATGCACGTACACCCAGGATGCAGACTAAACGCATTGATCCTTCCCCCTGCTCTCTTGGACAACTCAATAGCAGCGAGTATATTCGCAGATTTAGCCTGCCCATACGCCTCCAACGGGACATACCCCTCCCGATCGGGATTTCCGAGTGTATCGAAATTCACCCCGGCGTGGTACAGGTTGTGTCCAGCGCTCGAAACGAATATCACTCTCGGGGTGTAGGTGGGTGTGTGAGTGGCGAGCAGTTTCGGGGCGAGGAGTTTCGTGAGGAGGAAGGGGACAACGTGGCCGGTTGCGACCTGGCTTTCGAGGTTGTCCGGAGTGAGTTTGAAGGGACCTATTGTCGCGGCGGCGTTGTGGATGATGACCTAGGTCTGAATTGGAAGTTGGAAGAGACTACGGGACATGCGTACGTGTAGAGGTTCGGGAGACGCGTTCACCTCAGCGGCTGCACGGCGCGCGGAGGCAAGGGATGAGAGGTCTACCAGGAGTGGCCGGACGTTGGCGGAAGGTAGCTGGGTCTTGAGAGCCTGCTCCGCTGCCTTCAATCTGCCCACAGCCGTCCTCCCTTCCCTGTTCATGAACATAGAAGGACTACGACTCACCTGTCTGGATTGTGGCCAGTTATAATGACCAGGTTCGCATACTTGGCGATGGCACGAGCGGTATCGAAGCCGATGCCGTTGAGAGAGGTTCCGGTAATGAGGACTAGTCGTCGCGTCGGGTCAATAGGACGGAGCTGCTTGGAGAGGACAGGTAGTAGACTCACCATTCTTGCCTCGAATCTTTCCTTCAAAGGCACTGGCGACTTCTTCCGCAGTCGTGGCGAATCCGAACGTCGGTCTGGCCATTGAGAAGTTGGGCGGGAAAAGGTGTCTTGCTGAATTGCATTGGTGGGCCCATTTTAAATTTGAGCTCCGAGCGCGGTAAGCCGGCGCCACGAATGGCAGTTGGTGGGTTCGCGGTTGAACATTAAACTGCTGGATGACAGACGCGGCAATACCAGAACTTATACTTAACAGTTCAAGGAAGGGCGGCGTGCATCGAGTCCCGTCTGGCAAAACCTGAAGCCGGCAGACGAATTGGAAAACTCACAAAACCAAGGAAAATCTAACGCTCGTAAAGGGTCCGGTGAGATACGGAGCGCCGCGTGTATTTCCATCCGTGCGTGCGAAATGACTGACGTGACTTGAGTCTTGGACTAGCCTCACATGGTATTCCGAGTCGAGTCCACACTCACTCGACGTTCAAAAGACAAATTCCTCCCCGATGAGCTCTTCCGTAAGAGTCCACAGACGCTCCGCATTTTCCTAGCATGCAAATTACAAGAGTCCTGGAAACGTCAGGATTCAGAAGGACGTACCACAGAAGAGCACGCAGCGGGTAATTGGTCGTTTGCTATCTTGCAGTCGGAGAGGTAGGCGCCGGGGTGACCATTGAGGGTGCGGTCGAAGGCTGCTACCAACGTACTGTATGTGCTTTGCGTGAAATTTTCAAGGTTGGAAGTGAAGGATAAGACGCACGTAGCAGCTCCATGCGAAATACTTTTATATTGCTCTGGTTGTGTCGGTTGGCCGTCGGCGTCAAGCAGTCCTGTTGTGAATTAATCACACATGTTTATCAGCTGGAGAATGCTGCATACCGATTTGTTTCAGAGACTCGAGAGACTCTTCGTGTTGCATCAGATTCGTGAACACCGCTGTTGCACCGTTAGCTCCTTTACTTCATCGAATCATGAACGTACCCCCGGGATGCACGCTATACGCGTTAATCTTCCCCCCAGATCGCTTGGACAGCGCGATAGCCTGGAGAGCAGCAGCGGCTTTGGCCTGAAAATAAGCGTTGACGGGATGATAGTTTTCCGGATCCGCCCGCCCGATAATAGCAAAGTCCACACCAGCGCCGAGAACGGCGCTAACTGAGGAAGTGAGGATGACACGCGGGGTATACGTGGCGGTGGCGCCAGAGAGTAATTTCGCAGTGAGGAGTTTGGTGAGGAGGAATGGCCCGATGTGGTCTGTTGCGATTTGACTCTCGAGTCCGTCGGTGGTGAGTTTGAAGGGGCCGATGGGGGCTGCTGCGTTGTGGATGATGACCTGGTGGGTGGGGTTGAATAATAATCATGTTGGGATTTCGGAGGAGGATACATGCATGAAGTGGTTCGGGGTACGAATTGACTTGGGCTGCGGCTTCGCGGACGGCGGCGAGGGAGGAGAGATCGAGGAGAGGGGTCGGATGTCCGTGAATGGTGCTTCGCGCTTGAGGCTCTCTTCGACGAGCTTCAGTCTATAGACGTATCAGTGGCGAGCGACATGTAAAATTATATATGCTACCGCTCGGAATTGTGTCCAGCGATGTAGAGAATATCGACATGCTGCGCGAGAACGCGGGCGATTTCAAAGCCGATACCGTTCATAGAGGTGCCCGTGAGCAAGACTTTTGGAGTGGTCAAATGATGCAAAGGAGGCGAGAACAGTCCATATACCATTCTTGCCGGACATTTCTTCTCTGAGGCTAGCACCTACTTCTTCGGCCGTTGCATGCGAGGTGAACTGAGGGAGAGACATGGTGAGAGCAAGGTGAGAGAGGTGGCGATTCAAGGGCTTTAGGGAAGATTGAGTGGCGGCCGCCAGGAAGCTAGCGGCCGTAGCCGAAAGAATGCGAATATTTCACAGCGGGAAGTCTCCGTCCAGAGCCGCCCTTGCAGCAAAGCTAAGACAGTCGCGATTCCGACTGTCCTTGAAGTTGGCAGTTGCTGCACATGTATTATTCCCAGATGAGGCGAGGCGTTCGCTGGGCCGGCAGTAGGAGTTCGGGCCCAAAGAACCAGAAGAATCAATATTGAGCGTTTGGAAAGCAATGGTCGAGGTCCAAACCGGATGATTATTTGTCCCGTGTTTGTTCCTCGCGTAATCCTCCGTCGTCCCCTCGAATCCCGCCAGCTAGCTGCCCGCCATGGATCGTCTAGAAGCCCTCGGAACATCGCTGTCTCAGATAACCATGTACGACATTAAGAGCATGTACAACCAGGTCCGCCTTCCCGCCTTTTCCCGACCACGACCGATGTTCTGACGATCATGTCAAAAAATTGCAGGCCAAGAATGTCGTGCTCAACGTCAGTGAGATCGAGGCCAAGGTTCGGGAGGCTACGAATGATGACCCATGGTGAGTCCTCTGTGCATGAGGCCGGGAGATGTCGGTGACTTGGAGCTTGTCGACCGGGAGGATCTGCGTTCCATGATTGGGTCACCGAGGGTGGATGGGCTTTTCTGGCCTTTCACGCACGCCTGGACGCCGCCTGTGTGTCCCCGACCGAAGCTCCCTCTCGCGACGATGCCCTCTCGTGTCTTGACTGGCGCCTGGTAGCTCACTCCGTTTCGCAGGGGAGCAAGCTCCACTCTAATGCAGGATATCGCCAACCGGTGCGCTCCTTTGACTCTACCCCTTCCCCGTCTGACGCGTTTTCCTCCACCTAGAACATTCAATTAGTACGCACGTTCCTCGACTCTCCCCGCCCGACATCTGACAAGCACCATCTCAGCCCTGACTTTAACGAAATCATGCCCAGCATCTACGCCCGATTCATGGAAAAAGAGGCGCGTCAGTGGCGGCAGATATACAAGGTGTGTCCGCCGATGCTTCTGTGTCCATATGCTGATGGTCCTCCACCTTCAGGCCCTCCAACTACTAGAATACCTCATCAAAAACGGCTCCGAGCGCGTCGTGGATGACGCCCGCTCGCACGTCTCTACCATCAAAATGCTGCGCAACTTCCACTACATCGACGACAAGGGCAAGGACGAGGGTGTCAACGGTGCGTGCTTTCCCTCCAGATATCCCTTTGACCGAACGCCATGTAGTGCGTAATCGCTCGCGGGAGCTCGTCGAGCTCCTCTCGGACGTGGAGAAGATCCGCGGCGAACGGCGAAAAGCCAAGGCTAACAAGCACAAGTACATCGGCACCGGAAACGAAGGTGGCATGTCGTTTGGCGGGGGCGGCAGTGGGCGGTATGGAGGCTTTGGCAATGACAGTGGCTCCTACGGCGGGAGTGGTGGGGGCGGTGTCAGCGGTGAGCATTCCTGTCCTCGACGGTTCCCAAGCTCATTGAATGCAGACTACTACAACTCTGGTGGCGCAGGGTCCAGTAGCTCCGGGAGTGGCGGCTTCCGGGATGACCGTCGTGCCGGGGGTGGATTCGACGAATACAATGCTGGCGATGACGAGATTGGCGTCACCAACAGCAACACCAGAGACAGTGGTGCGAGTCGTACTTCACCCACTACACGGCGGGCACCCGAGCGCAAGGCGACTGCT